ATATATAATTCCAATTAAAAAAACTCATATAGGAAATTCTTCATTTTTTATATGATTTTTGTATTATGTATTTTAAATAAATTTCTTCATATCATTTCTTAAAAAAAAGAGTGATTTTTTACTTTAGCTTGTAATTAAATTATTGCATTGAGTTGTTATATTTGTCCAAAACATAACAACTAAAATAAATAGACTTAGTTGTGATTAAATGTAAAATCTAAAGATTTACAATTTACCCAAATTTACAGTACTATTTTACGTACAGAAGGTACTAAATAATTAAATGATAATGAAAAGTGAATCTAAAATAAATTTACAGTAGTTGTATTTGAATTAGCTTCTTAGTATTAGTCATTCTAGAGTTCTCCTGTGATTTTCACCGTTCATAAAAATTTTTGCAGAATCAATTTAAAATATACCTCAGTCCGCTTGCTTTTTCTATTAGCTATTTAATTTAAAATAATTAATTATTTATATGGACCCTTCCAACTCATACTCGGAGCATTACACTACTGACAAGTTTTGCAACAGCATAAACCAAATCATCTACATTGGCTTATAACAAGTACATCTGGAATTGCAGATGAACAATGAGGAACACATATACGAGACAACAAAACGAAACAAGGAGACAAGGAGTGCTTCCACTACTTCTTCTTCCCAGCTTTTCCTTCCTTTCTTCTAATAACTTCATCAGCATATTTAACACCCTTACCTTTATAAGGTTCCGGGGGTCTCCATTTCCTAACAGAAGCAGCAAATTGACCAATGGCGCTTTTATCATATCCGCTAACAACAATTCTGGTATTCTCTTCCACCTTCACTTGGATACCATCAGGGATTGCCATCCTAACCGGATGTGAAAACCCGAGATTCAGTACTAAGTCTTTTCCTTCTAACACTGCACGATACCCAACTCCAACCAGTTGAAGTCTCTTCTCAAATCCCTTGGATACTCCTACTACCATGTTGTCAGTCAGTGTCCTATGCAATTTAATATTTAGGAGGTAAGAAACGTAATAGATCCATCGTATAGAAACACTTCAAGAATCAACAATGTAAGGTTAATACATTTTGCTAGATTTCTGGTAATAAAGAGAAAATTAGTGATTGCACTTTGGATTATATAACATAAGTTTAATAATTATTGAGGAGGAAAAATAATTTGTTAATTCTTGCAGTGCAAGGACTAAACGCCATTTAGGTTGAGATTAGAAAATCTTCCGTGAAAAAAGAAACAAAATATTAAAAGCCAGAAATTAAAATTTTTTACTGAAAAGGCCCATGCATTTGGTTGGCTCTTCTAGTTTCTACTGCCTTTTTGAGCCTTAGCAACCCAGACTCCTCTTTCTCCAGCATAATTTCGCGTGGATAAGTCAATGAAAGTTCTCCCAAAGGACCCTTTACTTTCAAATCTTGACCTTCCAATGTTAGTGTTACATTGGCTGGCACTACAATTAGTTGTTTCCCAATTCGTGATTCCTTACATTCCACTATCTTCCTTGAAAAACCAACACGAGTTACAGGGACACCAGAGATGTGGATTCCTTTGCTATTGCCCAAAAACATAGACCTAAAATTGCTGAATCAACAGAAAAAGTAAATATCTTCCACAACATTGGTTAAATAATAACAAACAGATTCTCAAAAGAGTGTTTGCTGCTTGAGCACTAATTCTGTTCAGCCAGTTGGATGCTTAATGAATGTAGGTAAGTTTTAAGACAATTTTCAAACGTCGTTTCAATTTATTTGAGAAACCCAATCAATCATGAAATTAGACAGAAAATCAAATAAGCATCTCTAAATTTCTATCACCATAAAAGATCTTATCTATGGACAACATATAAACTGTATATATCAACCAGTATTGTATAATACTTTCACATCAGTACAGTCAATTTGTCATAATTTTGGAGGTAAATTTTCAACTTGAGGAAGAAAAGAACTTTCTTTTGTTAGCGAATAAACTAGAAGGATTCATTAGGAAATCTTCCTTTTGTTAAGTCATTTTTATTTAACACAAATTAAATAGTTAGGAACTATCATAGTGCATTTCCAAAGTCTGTCAAACCTTTAAATCTTTTATGAAATTTAAGATGACTAGTTCAGTCTTAGTTCAGAATGATTTCAAAATTAACTTCTTTTTTTGAGCATAAATCTGCAAAGGTTTCAACAAAAATAATTCATCTAATTCCAAACATACCCTAAATTGAAACTGCAAACCTGGAATACTCGTTTCAAATACCCAGTTTAACCTCATTTTTTAGCACAAACACCAATGCTATCATAAGGTTTTAACAGAACCCAATTCTCAAAACCATCAAATTTCACCAAAAATCTGGCGATTATAGAAATGGAACAATAAATGCAAGAAGGAATTCCAAATCAAAATACGAAGGAAAAAGAAAAAGAGCGAGAAAATTGTGTTCCAATTCCTACTTGAGGGAAATAAAAATTGTAAAAAAAAAAAAAAAAAAGTCTAAGGAACCATAAAGACCGGGAGAGAATAGTTGAGCTTGGATATCCTTTTACCTGGATTGGAAGGAAGAAGTAACTGAAGAAGCCATTGTTAAGAACCTGTGAGCATCAGCCTGAAACGAAGGGGGAAGCACCTCTGGCTCTGGTGGAGAGTAGCGGGGATGGGCTAATCCAAAACTGTTATCTGGTTTGAGGGCAGCCTTTGTTTAATGACGGAATCAACCCTCGTCTACAGGCTTCTCTTTATCTTCCTAATTGGGCCTTATTTTGGGCCCATTTCTTTTTTGAATATCGTATATGTAACTTTTTAATTAAAGTATTTATAACGGGAATATTTTATTGTATTATTTTTATTTTTGTAAATGTAATTAAATCTTTAAAATAGAAATAGATACATTTTATTAATTAAATATATATATATATATTGTTATTAGAGGCTTTATCATGTTATGATTTATCAATGAAAAAAAGTATGTTTGAAATTTATTGCTTTTGTTTTTCACGTGGGCATCTTTAGATGTTCATATTCATATTCTCACACTCTTCAAGTGCTAGTGCGTGGCTTGTAAGAGTAAAGCTTAAATAATGAAATTAATGAAAATATTATTATTATATTGTAATTAAAAATAAGTTAAAGCACATTTAATATGTTTACATTTGATTAACTAATTTAATAATTTATCCTTTTTTATTAACTTACTTTTGACCCATATTATACTCTCCAATAAATCAAGTTCACACTTCACTTCAAAGTTTTAATTTTATATAAAGTTATGCCTTAAGGCATTTTAAATCTTTTTTATTCTTAATTTTATGTTTTTTTAACTTCGATTTATTTTCTTATTTCCCTTTTTTTTTTTATAATCTTTACAACAAAAACCACTGTAGAATTTGATTCTTTTTATAATACTAATATTATAAAAAATTGTTCAATTATTTATTAACATAATTTATTATTTATTAAGATCCTGACTTCAAAATTATATATGTATTTTTAATTTTATATTTTAATATTTTTTTAAGTAGTTCAGATTTTAATATTTATATAAACTGAAAACACTAATCGGGAAGCCTGAAAATTAACGGTCACTAATCGAAGCGGGCAGGATCTAGTTCGTCCATCCATGGCCTCACCTTGGCCATTGGATCGCTCCCCAAGATTCCGTACGTGCAAACCACGCTCCTGGAGTCACGTCGTAGTAGACGAATATGATGCCGCCTTCTTCCTCCTCCCTCCAAAGTCCAAACAGGACACTTTTCAGTATTTACTGTGCCGTATGCGATTCTTCATTTCGTTATATACATGAAACATTACATGCCATGAAAGCTTCATCTTATCCTTTCTCTTTGACTCTCTTTCTCTTCCAATATATTTAATATGTATGCAGTGAAGCACGATTTTCACAAGTGGGAACTTGAAGACTCCCAATTCAACGCATGACTTCTCTCTGAATTTCTTATCATCTTCCTCGCCAAATCCATTTCCACCCTTTATTACATTTTGTCTGTTTTGATTTTCTTGTCTTCTGGTCGTAAATTGCTAATTTTGTAGCTTTGAAGATACCTGTGGCTTTTGGCTGCTTATCATTTGTCAGGCTTTGCAATTAATATCTTGTCTCACTCGTGTACTCTACTGATTAGGCAACACGAAGCACCCACCATTGTTGAAACTCTTTACCTGGTCTCTTCCCAGTTCAAAATCCATGTGGGTATCCGTCAAAATGTGATCTTTACCCGTTTAAACTCCACTTTTCGTAGTGCCCAGTAAAGTTTGAAGATTAATTTCTTGGGTTGCTGGGTTGGTGATTGATGTTCTTCTAATTATGAAGCTTACAAGGGTGTCTCTTGCACCCTTTTATGTAATGGTTGTATGGGTTTTTCTGGCGAGTTGTGTGAGTTGCCAAAGACCTCACGTTGTTAAGATTGGTGCAATTTTTGCCTTTGATTCGGTTATTGGAAAAGCTGCGAAGCCAGCAATTGAAGCTGCCGTATCTGATGTCAATGCCGATCCAAGAATCCTCAATGGGACTGAACTGAAGTTGATTATACGGGATAATAATTGTAGTGTCTTCTTAGACTCCATTTCAGGTACCACTTGTTTCATGTATGTTTTTCTCTTTAAAAAAATTCGTAATAATAGCTTTTAATTTTCTTTGGTTTGATATTTAATATTAACGATTGCAAGATTGGTGGCAGAAATAGCTACTATTGGCGTGAATGATGTAAAAGTTATGGTTTAGATCACCCATGTCTCTGTTTTATTTGTAGGAATTTGCTTTTAGTTCTTTCTTTTTATTTTTTATTTTTTATTTTTGGTTTACACTTAAACTTATATATATCATCTATGAAGGGGAAAGTGTCCACCTTTATATATTTTTGCATCGCAGTTCTGAGAATTTTTTTCATTGACAGTTTTTCTGTCGCTAATCTGCAACTTTTACATCTGTATTGGTGTTTTTCAAAACAATTGATAAGCTTGTTTAACTTTGAATGAAGTTTTAGATCATCAAGGTTTCTTTCGTCTTTTAAGTGGTATTCTTGATGACTTGCTTTTGCTGTCTTTATTAGATATATGGCAATTTAGAGCATTGGTTAACTCCTACTTACGTATTGAATCCAAAATTTATTGTTTCAATTGATCCAGTTTTTCAAGTGATTGCGGAAGAGGTTGTTGCTATAATTGGTCCATCATCCTCTTCAATTGCTCATATGATTGGTGAAGTTGCTAATGGCCTTCGAGTGCCCCTTGTATCCTTCGCTGCTACTGATCCAACTTTGTCTTCCCTCCAATTCCCCTACTTCCTCCGAACCACACCAAGTGATTCCTCCCAAATGGCTGCCATTGCCAATTTGACTGACTTCTATGGTTGGAAAGAGGTCATTGCTATCTATGTCGATGACGATTATGGGAGGAACGGAATAGCTGCTTTGGATGACGAACTTGACAAGAAATCAGCAAAAATTTCATGTAAATTGCCATTACCTGTTGGTTTTGATGAAAATAACATCACGGTGGCACTGAATTCATCCAAATTGCGTAATACTCGTGTTTATGTTGTTCATCTAAGTCCTGATCCCAGGTTGAGAATCTTCAAAGTTGCCCAAAAACTTGGAATGATGACTAGCAATCATGTGTGGTTTGCAACAGATTGGCTTTCTGTTACCTTAGAGTCTTTTTCAGCAAAGGATCAAGTATTGCTGAACTCTATCCAAGGTGTACTTGGGCTTCGTCAACATATTCCAGATTCTAGTCGTAAGAAGGAGCTTTTGTTTCGCTGGAGAAATATGCATAAAAAAGGGTCGATAGATTCTCCATTGAACGTCTATGGACTTCGTGCTTATGATACCGTTTGGGCAGTTGCTTACGGTCTTGATAAGTTTATAAATGATCAGAACAATGTCACTTTTTCTTTCAATCATAAGTTAATTGATATGAAGGCCTCTAAGATGCAGATAGGGAAGCTCAAGGTTTTCGAGGGTGGAGCCTTTCTACGCAAGGAAATTTTGCAAGCAAACTTCACTGGTTTAGCTGGTCAAGTCCACTTTGATGCCAGTGAGAGAAACATTGTGAATGCTGGTTATGATATTCTTAATATTGATCAGATGAGAGTTCGTACAGTAGGTTATTGGTCTAAGGATTTTGGGCTCTCTGTTTCACCTCCTGAAACTCTCAGAAGGAAGAAGTATAGCTTTTCCCTGCTAGATCAGAGGCTGCAGACAGTAATCTGGCCTGGTGGAGAGACAGAGAAGCCACGTGGTTGGGTGGTTGCAAATAATGAAAAGCCGCTGAAAATTGGAGTGCCCTACAGAGTTAGTTTTGTTGATTTTGTTACAGAAAATAAAAGCAGCCATGAAATCGTAGGATACTGTATTGATGTGTTCATGGAAGCACAAAAACATGTCCCATACGATGTTCCATACTCTTTCGAGCTTTTTGGAGATGGCCATTTCAATCCCAGCTACAATGAGCTTGTGAACATGGTCTACAATGGGGTAAGTAAACTATAATGGTCATTATAATTGTT